TCAGAGCACTTTATAAGGAGTCTGTGAACATCAAAAGCATTTATTTTTAGCCTTCAATTCATTCTTGAAGGACATGCTCATTAGAGCTATGACAATGTAGGCAATTTTGGGTGGCTGGCATATTTGACATCCTCTCTTAAAAGAGCTACACTGACTGACAATCAAGTTAAAGGCTCTAAGAGCCACAGAACAACTGTTTAAGTCAAAAAGGAGAAGCAAAGACCCAAGTAACTTAAAAGAAAATCTATGCAGAAAATATACCAATATGCAGACAAATGACTGAAAGCTTTCTAAACCTGGGATTTGAAAAGGTTTTCTAAAACGTTTCTCAATTTTCACTCCATGCCCCAAAATCCAAATCATTTTTATGCATTGAGCCATTATACTTGATTCATACATTTTTCTCTTCAAATTTTCTTAAAAGAGTACACAGAAGCTGAAATGATAAAACCCTGTTACCTAATCACATGATTCAATGTGCACTATCACAAGTCTAAACTTTTTGTGATAATAAACTTGAAGATTTGGTTTCCATTTTTCAGGTTCTCCAATCTACTTTTCTCTTTGTAGGCATTAGCATTCTATTGTCCTTTAAATCAGCCTGAACTTGCTCATTTAATATGTAAATTTGAAATATAGTTTCTATTCCAGTATACAATGAAATTTATCAGACACAGAGTAAAGATACTCAAATTTATTTCTTGCCTTATATTATAAAGTAAGTTGTTTCTCCTTTCTTTCTTTTCTCTGTCTAAACTTCATCTCTCCCTCTACCTTAACCTTCTGTTAAAAGACTTCCTGTAGGGCTGGGGATTTAGCTCAGTGGTTTTGCCACCTGCTGCACAAGCGCAAGGACCCAAGTTCAATCCCTGGTACCAAAAAAAAAAAAGATTTCCTGTAATACTTGGCCTTTATGTCATCAAATTTACATTTTCTAAGTTTTTTGTTTTACTTTGTTTTGCTTTTTGCAATAGAATCGTAGAGTCAGTTGTCAGAGTAGCTGTAAACACAAAGTCATGAGGACACTATCTCTGACACCTCCTTAAAGTCCTACTGAAGAATATTCTTCCAAAACCTAGTGCCTGAAAAAACTCATAGTATGTTTTTTTCCCTAAAGGGAAATACATAATGGGGTTATTTCAATTGCTACATCATCCTCACTACTACTAAGTAGGATTAGAACAGTTACAAGTAAGGCTTTGGGGGATGTGCTAAGCATGATACTGGTCTAGATTTGTAAGTTTAGTCTTAGCAGCTTAGGCATAACCATATTACTTTTGGATAATAGAAGTATGAGTAATTTAAGGATGGAGAGAGAAAGAGGAACTAAGGAATAGAAGAAGGCACCTAGGGAAGCTAGGCAGCACATGAAAGAAGGGTCAAAGAAAAGAACTTCCAGTGGACCAACCTAAGAAGACACTTTTCAGACCAGAATGTTCCATAGAGATGTTCGAGTGGTTCAGTGTGGAATATGCTCCCCACCACATCCCCTGCAGTAAAGTTTCCATTCCCTCCTATTTACTCTTCTATGAAAGTCGATTATTTTTTTAAAAATTCAAGAAAGAGCTCAGGTCTGTAATACTGGATTGGCCTTGGCTAAGAATCAGAAAGAGGATATGAACATGCTAGGGACAGAAGGGACTGTTGACATCTTGGGTACCCAAAGAAGTTCCAGGCTACAAGACTTAGAGTATGAATTTGAGTATGGAAGCTGTCTTTTATGATTTTTTTTTTCTGGCTGTTCTTGTATTAGCTGTTGCAAACCCTGTATCAAGTCTATGAGTATCAATTTTTTTAGAAAATATATGACTTTCATACTGTGTGGTTCTTTTATTCCTGAATCGTGAACTAATTTATATTTTCTCTATTTTTAATTATTTGGTTATTTTTACCTATTGTATTATGTTAAAACCTGCATTAAAACACTTATAAAAGGCTGTGCTACAAAATAAATTATTTTACTTTTTTTTTGTTCCTAGTTTCCCCATTCTGAATTTTAACATGATACAAGTTAATGCATTTTTCTCCATTTTAAATACTGCTGTCATGTTTACAACTTTATAGAGCTGTGTGACTGTGAACTGGAATAATCTTGACATTGATCAAAACCTATGCATAACTTGTTCCCTTATCAAAAGTTATCTCTTATCAGGGGTTACTAATGAAATCAATATTCATAAAAATTTGGTCTTATATTTTATTATGTATTCACTAACTAAGCTGACTAGACCTTACCATCATGTTTGTGTCAAAAAGGATCTCTCAAAAAGTCTGCCCAGTCTATGGAAGGCAATAAGGAGAAAGGCAAGACAACACTCCCATTTGACACCTGAGGAAAGTGAGGCTCAAAATACCAGTGATCAGCCCAGATGCATCATCAATATAAACTGGGGTTCAAACGAAGCAAGCCACTCTTCTGCATCCTGAATATTGGAGAATGTGTACTAATTAGTCAAGTAACCTACAGCTTCTCAGTATATCAAAGCCCAGGCACATTCCTGAGATGATAAAGGACAACTTTCAGGTAATAGGAAGGACTCCACTTTTAGTCCTATTGTTGGTTTGTGAAATCAGCAGTGCCTCAATAGCACTGCTATAAAGGAAAGGCAGCATCCAGTTTCTGACAAGCTCAGAAAAAGTTTTAATTTTACAAAAAAGAAAACAAAACCTTAAATTCTATCTTAGATGCTTCAGAGTCTTCACAAATGTGTCACCCTTTTCCATTCCTCTGATAACCTTTGAAGGTATCACAAGGATCTAAATTTCTGAACTTTCATGAGAGGTTGTTTGTTGTTTTGACTTTGCAGAATAGTAGAGTGTGTAGTGTATCTGTTGTTATATCCAGGAATAGAAGACCTACAATTAAAACTTTGAGAATGTTCCTCTTACCCCAGTGGCTAAGTGGGATTTAACTAGCTTTCCAGTTTCCCGCATCCAAGGCTTTGTGGAATACGTTCAAAGCTAGGCTGAGGGAAAGAGGATAAATTCATTGCTCTACTAACAAGAGCTTCAGAATACTTAATGCCTAATAAACTGACCTAGTAGTCCTGACTTGATTTTCAGGGCTGATTACCTATTTATTAAAATTATAGTTAAAAGTAAGGATATTTTTACAGAGATCCTTTAGGATTCACCAAGACAAAGTGCCTGTAGTTCTTACCAAATGTACTTGAAGGTAACATGGCAGAGAAATTTTGCAAAACAATCCCAAGGTTGACTAGATGTGAAACTAGTAAGCAAAATACAAAGCATTATGACCCAGGTACTAATTTGGATTAGAAATAACAATGACATTCCTAAATAATAAATTTTCTTTTTTGAGAAATAGCAACAATCTTAAAGCATTAACAACAATCTTAATTGATATCACAGAGAATGAAATCAATAGAAAAAATTTTACAAAATGAGTATAATGAATTATATTGTGCAAATAAAACCAATTTTATATTGTGCCTCTCTATCAATCTAAAATTACAGGCAGTAACAACAATGGCATAGTGCAGATTATCTAGAACATCATGTGGATATAGACCACACAACAACACAACTTGGTTTTGCAGGAAGAACCACAAATAGAGCCTGAGAAGTGCACAGATTAATTTTACTCTTCTTCCAGTCCCGCACCCACTCAGATTTTAATAATCTGCTTTGTAACAACTGTGCGAATTAAGGATTCCAACAACCTTGAAACACCAATCCCAATACAAACTAACACCCTCCCGTTGCCACCCTTTTGGCAGCTTGCCAGGCATGCTATTTTAAAATCAGGCATTAGGAGGCAGCAAACAGCTCAAATCCACAGGCAAAGATAAACATAGGAAGTTGGAAAAGAGACCTACAGCTGTAAATGCATGGAATACATCTTAAACACAAACTTCTAGGAATTCAGATTTGATATGGAGAAAAGTTAGAAGGTAAAGGGTTTGGCCCTCACAAAGACCCTTGTGAAATTATTTGGATCCCATGCTTCATTTCAACAGTTCTAAAAAATTCAGACAGTTTCCTTAAGGGTTAAACAACCACATTGGACTGACTTGGCTTCATTTCATCTTGTTTTGTTTTACCTCCGTAAACAAGGGTCTTATGGTTTCCTGGTGAAATTCTCAGGCCTTGCCTGCTTTAGCAATATGAGCAATTGTATATATTGCTCAAGCCTTCATTGAGAGACCAGCACTGATTCTCCCCTTTCTGCTCCATTCTGACCAAGGTATTTACATATTTATAATATGCACCGCAGTTACTTAGAATGTTAGCACTGCATCTATGTTTAAGAAAATACTTGTGGCATGTACTCTAACCCAAACTATCAGATCTTCAGATAACATGTCTCTGTCTTATTTTAGGAAGTTAAAAATAGACTTTTCACTTTTCCAAAGGGGAAAAATATCTCAAAACACAACTTTTTGTTATTTTAATTATAATTAATTAAAGTATTAAATTAAATTATTGGAAATTGTGCTTAAACCACCTTAAAATTGTTTGGTTTATACCATCAAAACAACTACTGCCTCTCTCTAGGTATTTATTTGGAAGGAAGGAGCTCACGTAATTTATATGAAAATTTTATTTCAAGCATAAATAGAAAGATCCTTAGAAAACGTGATTACTATGAATCAAAACTATAAATATACCAGGAAGATTGTGTGGTGCATAAAACAAAACTTAACATCTTCAGAGAGTTCCTTGAAATTTCTGCATTGTTTCTTAAACTGTTGTGCTGAGAATTCATATATTATATGCCACACAATACTTAGCTATCTATCACAAAATATACAGAATAAAACAGCAATAAAAACACATTCATGATCTTGAATACTAATACTGTAATGAACAATTCAATCAAACCAAAAATAATTCATTTCAAAACATGCAAATGTTGCACAAAACCTATTTTCCTTCAAGGCATGTATGATGATTCCAAACTCCTCCAATAACCAAATTTCAGCTTTATTACAATTAACTATCAACAATGATTGGAGAAAATATCACACATTACTTACTATTTTTAAGATCTATGCCATCATTCTGAATGCAAGACAGTAAAGAAGAATCACTACCATGAGGAAATCTAGCAGGTAAAAAGAAAGAAAATAGCAAGTATTAGTTGTCTGAAAATTAGCATTTTCAGCTTTTCTTGAGGTAGTTCCCACAAGATCCCAAAGCAAAAAAGAAAAAGAAAAAGTTGGAGAAAAACATCACACACATCATGAGCCGACTTCTTCCACAAACCCATGCAGCTCCAAACTTTAAGGGCTCAAATTGTTGAGTGTCCTGGTCGAGCAAATATCCGGCTTCAGCATCCCTGGTTACGTGCACATTTTGAATAAGACGAATGTATCTCCAAAATTATAGTCACTTTAATGTTTTATCCAGATCTTCCCCCTGTTTCCCCTTCTCCCTTTTCCATTCACATTTTTCTTCCTACAAAATGCACATAGCTCTGTTCTTCCTTGTACCCCGAGTCAGGCCTGGCTTTGAAATGCATTTCAATCTCTCAACACAGACTGCTTTCACTGCATTTAGAGTCCCACTAAGGCCCAGCTTTAAAAGCTACTGATTCTTTTTTTCTTTAGCCTTCCTTACAAAGGAAGGGTATTTTGTAAATTACCAGCTCGTTCAGATCAACAAAAGGTACTTTCATAGAAAGCCCCATTTGATTTTGCTCAAATTTGATTACAAGGATGGAGAAAAGGAAAGGAAGTCAAAAAGAAAAACCCCAGATGGCTTTTTCATTCATCTCAGTGAATGAGCTTTATCTGTGCCTTTTGAAACTGTAGCAGTGGAAAAGCATTTCTGTTGGCTTAAAAAACTTGACAAAAATTATTGGTTTGCCATTTCTCATGTAACAGCCATTGGGAACTGGATGAAAAGACTTTTTCATGGGATCGCCTGCTTGGATCAAAATAATGGAGATTAGGTATTTCATTATAAATTACAGTGGGAGATAGAGCAGGCTGTCATATTAATAGCAACCTGCTCATGGCCTTCAATGGTAGCTATTCTCCTAGACAAAGGACCAAGGGGGTTGTCTATTGAACTTGTACTTTAGGCCTGATCAATTTTCTATCATCAAGGCAAAAGGTGAGATGACTAACAAAGGAATTCACACATGAGTGACCTCATAAGCCTACAGATAAAACAGCTTAAAGAAGCAAAATACATCCTGAAATTATGGATGATAAACTATATAAAGAAGAAGACAGAGTATGAGAGTGGGAAAGAGCAATGGTCTATAATTCTCCTCTCTCTTCTTGGCCAAATGGACACATTAAAAGCTACTTGTTTTCAGCTGCAGATAATTGCAATGTTTGGTTTGCAGTAAGGTCTGCTATAAATCCTTCAGCTGACTTTTTTTTTCCTCCACACAGTTTCAGTCATTTCATTCGCTATTAACAATGGCATTGTGTTCAAGACAAAGCTTCTACCAAGAATCACACTTAAAACTAAAAATGTAAAAGAATCACAAACAACACAGGCTTCCAGATGTTACACAGTAGAGTGTATGTCTGGTATTTGCTCCAAGTTATCAGCCTCTTGCCTCATTGTATACATTTTAAAGGCTGAAATAATTCTAAGACTTAACTGTACCTGCAACTATAAAACACAGAACTTTAATTGAGTACACTGAAACACAAGATCCAATGAAGATTCTTTCAGAAATTAATGGTGACAGATTACTAATCCAAAGAAACAATGAAAGATGAGTAATTTTCGATTCATCACAAGTAATATTTAGATTCCTAATTGAAGTCAAAATCATTGTAGAAATTACTAAAATCCCCTTTCCTTAGATATTACCATGGAATTTTCCTCAGTTTTCCTCAAAAGAAGAAAAGAGAAAGGTGGTGGTTTCTACCCAACAGTTTTGGTGTTTTTGAATTCAGGATGAAATTATCTTCTAGAGATTAAAAAAATCAGGTTTTCCAAATGTTATTGTTACCTAAATATGCTAATATAATTTAGCATTTTATGTACATTATATGAAGATAGTACAAAGTAAAAATACATGTGAACAGGATGTACTTTTTCCATGCAATATTTTTTAAACCGTAGTACATGATTAATGTAAAAGGACTTCCAACTGCCTAAAAGTTTGAGGAAATACCATAAATATCACTCATGACAGGAGTTGTCAAAATAAGTCTATGTTTTGACAGACACCCTTGACAGATGTAATGACCCCAAATCTGAGACACAAACACTCTTAGTATATACAATTTCACACCTATAGTGACAACAAAAGGAAGTTCATTTGTGTATGGATTAATAAAACAAGGATATAGCTTTATCTGAGGTATATTACAAATGATTTCATATTTATATAAAATTGCATTCTCCTTGTTTTTAAGATCTATGGACTATCTTAATCATTTAGAGAGATCTTAACCATTTAGTGAGATTCAAGGTTGTTAAAGAATTAAATAACTCTACTGGGAGTCAGGAAGCAGGCAGGCTTTTCCCACTATTGGTGTAGATGTGGACTGATACAAACTTTCTGGATGGCAGCTAAATGTTTTAAGAGTATGAAAGTCCTCATAGCTCTTGATGTCTAGTTATTCCAACACTAAGAATCTTCCCAGTTGCAGCTATCAAGAATATAAAGATCACTCTCCTATACAAAGATATTTACCATGTTATGAGTCAGATAGAGTAATGCTTAGGATTACACATTCTAAAGTCAGACTAGTTGAGTTTCAGTTAAAACTTCACCAACTTCCAATTACAAGCTAGGAGTTTGGTTGTTAATTCTGTATGCCTTACTTTTCTCACCTATAAAATGGGGATTCCAAAAGTGTTATGACAGGACAAAGAGAACAATCAATAGAGTATAAACATAGCCTATAAAATGGGAGAAAATATTTGCAACGCATCCATCTCACAAGGAATTGAAATCAAGAATATATAAGAAATTCAAGAAAGATCCCAGGAGCAGCGATGTGGACCAGAGTGACATGGCTGTGGCAGATGCACCCAGAGCCCTGCCCCTACCCAGCTGCTTGGGCACATAGGCCCAAGCCAAAGGCCCACCCGGAAAAGAGCTGCACAGGCACAAAAGCGTCAGCCAGAGGCCTGCCCCGATACCATCAGTAAGTGCGCGGAGATCCCAGTAACAGTGTGGATCAGAGCAACTCAGCTTCAGATAGGTCCAACCAGGGCCCTGCCCTGACCCCAACCACTTGGGTACACAGGCTCAAGCCAAAGGTCTGCCTAGAAAAGAACTGCACAGGCACACAACCAACAACCAGAGGCTCATTCTGAGACCATCGAAAAGTGCATGGAGACCCTAGCTAGAAGCCTGCCCAGACACGAGGGACTAGGGTGCACAGCCACCAGCCAAAGGCCCTCCCAGGCAACAGCTATGTAGGGGGACAGGCCCTGGAAGGAGACATACCCAGATACCATCCCAAGTGTGCACAGGCCCCAACCAGAAGCCCACCCAGACAACAGGACAGCTAAGGGATGCAGAAATCAACCATTCTGAACCCAGAAATTGGTGCACTGGTGAGTAACACAGATAGACCACTCTGTGGCTTCCTGAGAATTGAAGACCACTGGGTGAGCAAAAAGTTGCTTCAACAAAGGCACAGCAGACTGCATCTGTGGAAATGAGAAGAAACGGTAAACAAATCTCAAAACGGAAATAGGGCAAACAATTCCTTTCACAATAGCATCCAAAAAAATTGAAATACCTAGGAGTCAACCTAACAGAAGAAATCAAAGACTTCTCCTCTGAAAACTATAGCTCTCTGAAAAGAGAGATTGAAGATGATATCAGAACATGAAAAGACATCCCTTACTCCTGGGGAGGAAGAATCAACCTAGTGCAAAGGCAAACAGATTTCCAAGAATCTCCAAGAAGAGTCTGGAGTGATGTATTTCAAGCCCTAAAGAAAAACCACCTCCAACCCAGATTGATGTAACCTGCAAAACTGTCTTTCAAATTGATGGAGAAATAAGATACTTTCATGACAAAGAGCACCTGAGGAACTTCATGAATACCAAACCTGCACTCCAAAACATTAAAAAAATGTCCTAGGAAAAGGCAATGAGGATCACAACCCCAGGAAGCACAGCAGAATGAATCCATCAGGCACGACAAGAAATTAAATGCAAAGGGGGAGAATCCAACAAAAATAAAAAGTCATGAAAAGGATAGGCCAATATATATCAGTCATATCCATCAATGTTAATGGTCTCAATTCACCGGTCAAAAGAAATAGACTGACAAAATGGGTCAAGAAGCAAGATGCAACAATATGCTGCATACAAGAAACACAATTCAAAAACAAACACATAGACTGAAAGTTAAAGGGTGGAAAACAATACTCCTTGCAACAGGAACTCAAAAAATAGCAGGAGTAGCTATCCTCTTTGCAGATCAAGTGGATTTCAAACCAACACCGATTAAGAGAGACAAAGAAGGACACTACATCCTTGTAAAGGGAACAATCCAAGAGGAAGAGATAACAATCGTAAATATATATACACCAAACACTAGTATGCCCAACTAGGTAAAAAAATACTAACGGAAATGAAAAATCAAATAAGCACTAATACAATAGTAGTGGGGGACCTCAATAACCCACTGTCACAAATAGATAGAATAACTAGACAAAAAAATAAACAAGAAAATACTAGAACTCAATCAAACTCTTGAAAAAATGAACTTAACAGATTCTTACAGATTGTTCCACCCCACAAAATCAGAATACACATTCTCTTGGGCTACACGTGGGTCATTCTCCAAAATAGACCAAATACTTCCTCAAAGAACATGTTTAAGTAAGTGCAAAGGAATTGAAATTATTCCCTGTATATTATCTGATCATAGTGCAATGAAATTGGAGATCAATAGCAAAGAAACCACAAGAATTTCATAAACACATGGAAATTGAACAACACACTCCTGAATAACTAATGGGTCACAGAGGTAACTAAAGAAGAAATAAGACAGTTTCTACAATTAAATGATAATGTCAATACAACATATTAGAATCTATGGGACACAATGAAAGAAGTTTTATGAGGGAAACTCATACCGATGAATACTCATATTAGGAAAACAGA